TTTAAAAGTTGCTCTGAATTCCTTGTCAGGTTCATGCATGTCCAGCTCTTTAGGATGAATCATTCATTTTCATGTCATGCTTCTTGACTGTTCTTGATCTTTGTGGTCATGAATTTTTATCTGTGCGTTGAACTGTATCTTTGTAGTCTGGCCTTGGAATAAAGCTTCAGCAGTAAATTTGTCTGGAGACTCTACGACTGTGGTCAATGCAGCATTAGGGTTTTCCCAATCCCAAGGTTGCAGTAGCTGGCAATGCTGGACTGTGACTCCTGAGGGCACCAGGCTGGAGATTTCAACTCCCATAGCCACCAAGGCTGCTATAGCACTGGTGGATGGCTGAATCCATGGGCAGTGGCCCCTGCCTGTCACTCAGGTTTGTCCAGAGCCCAAAGCCACTGTAGTTAACCAGTATGAAAAGAGACTTCAGATAAATTCTGCCTGGAAGGGGATAGTTTCCTTCCTAACACTAGAGCAAGTCTGAAGGTTTAATTCACAGGTACTAGCTTGGTGTCAGGGGGGCCATGTAAATCTACCCAATACTAGGCTTTACTGTGGTCCAAGGAAAAGTCATATTATATCTTCTTTTAATGACTGAACATTGCAAAGTACGGATATGCTACATTTTGGTTATCTGTACATAAGTGGGTGAACATCTGGGAGCATTGTACATTTCAACTATTATGACTAGTGCTATGAAAGTTGGAGTAATTTCTCCTTTAGATATAAACTTGAAAGTCTTGAATGATATAATTGTGTTCAGTGAAGGACTGTTGTGCCCTGGCTGTTTAACTTTATGTTCCCATCAGCCAATGGACAAGGCTTCCAAATTGTCCATACTCAAGCCAACACAAATTTGCTTTTTAAGGTGACCACGATTCAGTGGGTAGGAAGCAGTACCGGAATTGGTTGTAACGTGCATTCTTCTAATGAATAGTACTATTTTCTTTTCATGTGATTGGACATTTATATATCTTTGCTGGAAAACGTCTTTTACTTTGCTATTCATCAGCTGTCTTGCTGTAGGATTGTTGAGTCATTTCAATAGTCCAGAGACTAGGCCCATATCAGATATTTTAATGTTGATGATATAAAATACCTTCTTTTTGTTGCTTGCACTTTTTGTCATTTCTGAAGAGAAATCTAAGATCACAGATATTTACATTAGGTCTATAAGATTTATAAGTTTAAGTGTTAAATACAGGCGTTTTGTTTATTTTGAGTATATCACAGGAAGGGCTTTTTAAAAAAAATATATATATGGATATCCACTTGTTCCCAACACCATTTGCTGAGAGATTATCTTTACATGTTGAATGGCCTTGGCATCCATGCTAAACACCTATTAATCACAAATGTACATTATTTCTAGACTTTCAGTTTCATTTTATTGATCTATAGGGGCATATGTAGGCCAGTAACACAATATTTTGATTACTGTAACTGTGTAGAAATGTTTGAATCCAAGAGATGTAAATTCATCCTCCTATTCATATATGTGTATTCTACTTGGGGATTCTTTAAATTGTACTTGGGTCTTCATGTTACTTCACCAATGGTTTGCACTCTTCAGTGTAGTCTTGTACCTCCTTGATGGATTAAATTTATAAGTATTTTATCCTCCTTGATGTCATTAATGAGCTGCTTAATTTCACTTTCAGATTTATTCCTAGTGTACATAAAACTGATTATGTTGATCTAGACTCGACCTTTTGTGAACTTAGCTATTAGCTTAAGGTTTTTTTTTAGAATTTTCTACTTTTGATGTATTCTCTAGTCAATCACATCACATATGAATATTAATTTTACTTTTTGTTTTCCAATTGGAAAACATTTTGTTTCCTGAATAGGTACGGCTACATCTAGCACAATTCTGAATCAAAGTGAGAGTGGACATTTGTCTTTTTTTTTTTTTGGTACCAGGAATTGAACCCAGGACTTTATACTTGCAAGGCAGGCAGCAGCACCACTGAGCTAAATTCCCAGCCGTCTTGCTTTTGATCTTAGGATACATTCATTTTCAGCCTTCTAGTCTTTTATGATTGTTATTGCTTAAAGACTTATGTCTTCTGTCGAGACTGTTGCTTCTTAGTTTTTAAATTATGAAAAGGTGTTAAGATTTCTGATTTTGTATCCATCTAAGTGATCACATGCTTTCTCTCCTCCATCCGATTAGGGCAGTTTATATCATGTTGAATTTTATCCTTGCCTTCTAGAGGTCCCAAGTGATTGCAATGCCTAATACTAAGGTAACTGATTCCACTTATGTTCTGCCTAAGTCATTTGCATTTACTTTCATAAGGGTACACACCTGGTTTTTCTATAAAATCTTTGATTTTTAAGAATCTGAACATACAGAGTAAGTTATGAAGTATCATTTTTTTGTGTCTTTTTCCACCGGAGTTTGAGGATTACTGAGACTGTTTGATAGAATAAGTTATTTAAGTTCCCCTAGTCTTGGGCTTTCTTGGAGTTTGGGAGTTTTTCTGGTTATTGATTCAATCTGCTTTCTCTTTATATGCTGCTCAATCCTCTTTTTCTTGGGTCAGGTTTGACAATGTTTGTTGGAATGTGTCCATTTTATCAGCTACGTGATTTCTTGGCAGATTGTTGTAATCCTTCTATTTCTGCAAGATCTGCTTTAATGTCACCACTGTAATTTCTGATTGAGTTATTTTAGTATTCTCCCTTTTTGGTCTAGGTGACATTTTCTCAACTTTGTTTATAATTTCAAAATTCCATATTTGGTTTATTGATCATTTATTATTTTTGTTTTCAACTTCATTTCTTTGTGCTATTGGTGTTTAGCTTACCCCGTTCCATCATTTAAGACTGTGCTGTTTAACAGTTAGACATGATGATGCACCCTGTAGTCCCAGCTACGCAGGGGGCTTTGGCCCAAGGATTTGAAATTTAAGTCCAATTTGGGCAATTCAGAATTTCTTGCAAAAACAGTCAAGCTGGGTATGGTGGCACACCTATAATCCCAGCACTTAGGAGGCCGAGGCAGGAGGATCGCTGTGATTTTGAGGCCAGTCTAGGATACAAGGCCAGACTGAACTACACAGCAAGACAAAAAACAAAGCAACCAACCAACAAAACCAAGAAACAAAGTATAAACAAAATCAGGGCTGGCAGCATAGCTCCGTAAGTGCTTTACTGAAATGTACGAAGTCGCAGACTAAATACCTAGTACATGCCCATGCACATGGTTAAATTTCTACATATTTTTAACATTTACACTTTTCCTTCTTTTTAGCTTTATTCTCCTCCGAGACATTTTTTAAGATTTTAATGCTTTTTTAATTCATAAGGTCTTGTTTGTGGCTTGAAATTGCACGAGAAAAACACATGCATGTGTGTATTCTGCTGTTGCTAGTCTATGCCTCTCACATATTCTATTTAAATCCTCTATTTCCTTACTGATTTACAAATAATTCTGTTGATAGATGTATGGTAGATGTCTTTTATTCGTGAAAAATGTCTTTCTCCCTTCAATTTTATCATTTTTTGATTCATGTATTTTGGAAGCCATATGTGCCAATGTTTATCACTGTATCTTGTCAAAATATATTCTGTATATAGTTTACAGTCTGTTTTGTCTAACTAGATTCATCTCATCCTTTTTACTTCTACCATTATTTTTCCTATCTTCTCACCTTCAATTTAAATTTTTGCGTTCATGGATCTGATACAGGTCTATTGAGGTCATATAGTTTATTTAAAGTACTCATAGAAAGGGACATTTATCATTTTGCTACTGCTTTTTCATTGCTCAACCCTTCCATTATTGTCTTCAAAACTTTTTTCTCCTTAGTATATAATCCTGTCCAAGCACCATTTCCACACCTACTTTTAGATTTTCTCTCATGGTTATCCTGAATATCTTAAATTTCTAACACTGAGCATCAATTTGAGCTTTAATAGTATACAAAAGCTTGTCTTTATCTTCCCTATCTCACTGTCAAACACTTCGTATTTATATGTAGTGTGCACATTAATACAGACTTCTGTTACTTTGTTTCCTTTAAAAAGGAGTCATTAATCAAAATGTGCTATCCTGGCTTTGTGTTTACTTAACTAGCTACCTTTACAGTGTCTTTATATGGCTTTGAATTTTTTTCTTCTGTGAGACTGTTTCACTGTGTAGTCCTGTCTAGCCTTGAAATCACTATGTAGTTCAGGCTGGCCTCAAAATCACAGAAATCCTCCTGCCTCAGCCTGCCAAGTGCTGAGATTACAGGAGAGTGCCACTTATTATCTAATGCCTATTTCAGCACTCTTTTTACCATTTCTTATACAGAAGACCTAGCAATTAACTCCCACAGGTTTACCTGAGAAAGTCTTTTATTTTCCTTCATTTAAAAAAGTAGGCAATATGTACTAGATAAAAAATTCACTGCTTTTTCTTTTAGCACTTTTAACACTATACAGTTCCTCAACAGAAGTCACCTATTATTGAGAATTTCTTGAATAAGTAGCTTCTCTTGCAGTTTGAAATTGTCTTTAGTTACCAATAATTCTATTACGTGGCCCAATGTCCAGCTGTTGTCCCTGCTTGTTATTCATTGAACTCTTTAAATAAATATACAAGTCACCGTTTGATTAAGCAAAGGCATTTCCAATGAGTATTTCACCGAATATTTGTACCCTTTCTTTCATCTGGCTTTCTGAGATGCCCCTGATGTTTGTACACTTAATGAAGTCTCATATGGCTTTTGGCCTGTTTATTTTTCTTCATTCTCTTTTCTCAGATGGGATATTATCAACTGAATTATCTTCATACTTGTTAATCCTTTTGCTTGTTCAAGAAGTTGTATGAAGCTCTCCAATGGTTTTTTTTTCCAATTCTAAATTCTTTTCTAATTTCCTCTTTAATACACTGATGCTCAGTGTTTAATTTACACATAATTGTGAATCTCTCAGTATTTTTAATCAAAGACTTCTGATCTCATTCCTTTATTATCAGAAAAACTTTGTATCTTTCAAAATTTATTAAGACTGTGCTCACTTCGGCAGCGCATACACTAAAATTGGAACCATACAGAGAAGATTAGCACGGCCCCTGCACAAAATTTATTAAGACATTTTGTGGCTTAGCATATGGTCTACCCTGGACAATTTTTTATGTGCAACTCAGAAAATATACATTGGATGGTTAATGAGCAGAGTGTATGTACTGTTAAGATACGGTATCTATAGCCTTGATAATATTTACTAATCTTTTGCTATCCATTATTGAAATCAGTAGTAGTATTAAACTATTATTGTAATGATATTTATTTTCCCTTCAATTTGGTCAGTGGATGCTTCATATATTTTGGAGCATATCTAAAAGTGCACAGTTAGAACTGTTGTATTTTTCTTGGTAAATTGATCATTTTTATAAATATTCATTTTTTTTACTTAGTCTTTTTTCCTGGTCTTAACATAAATACACAAACACACCTGCTCAAGGTTTTGGATTTGTATGTAAGACCTTCTTCCATCCTTTTTGTCTTTAGATCTAAAGTTAACTCTTATGTAGGTAACACATCAGGTCATTAATAATACTGCTTACACCTTTTGAAAGGAGTGTTTAATCCCTTTATATCTGAAGTACTTGACATTTTGTTTTCTGCATAAGTTTTAACTTTTTGCCTTCCATTTCCCCCAAGCAGCCATTCGTGTTTAACTGTTTCTCTTTTTTGGTAGTGTCTTGGGCTTTCCCCGCTTTTATGTCCTACAGATATTTTCTTTGTGGTTACCATGGGGATACCATATAATTTCATAAAGTTATTATAATTTTTAAAACTATCTCCCATTCAAAGATTGCCTTAAGATTGAAGAGGATACCTAGCACAGTTTAGGTATTCATAAATTATTTCTAGTTCTAACTCTACCACTCGGTAGTCTGATATTTTAGGATGACCTCCTCCAAATCAAACCCAAATGTGTGTGTGATAAGCCCTTTAATGACTGAAAATGACCCTTAAAGAAGTTAAGTTGTAGCACTAGGAAGTTAAAGCAGTATAAATGGGAAGAGTAAAATCCAGTACTGAAAAGAGAACTGATGTGAAAATAGTAGCACATGTAATACAACTTATCAGATTAATCTGATCTCCTAAGGGTGTCTGTTCACTTGACAACCTGACATGTGCTGGTCAGGGAATGTGCTTAAATATGCGGCACAACTTGCTATGACACTGGTTCTCGTTATAATCTATTATCCAGGTTGTAGGGGAAAAGTTCTTACCTTACCTGGTAAGCAAAACCTGTGGTTAACTAAGAGACATCTGAGCAGAAGCCCAGTTAGGTCTGACACCTTGACAGTAGAGTTGGGTGGAAGGAAGGAAGTGTGCCAGAGTCCCACCAAGACAAGCAGATAGATGCAACCTGAACTTTACATACATTTATCTTTCAGATTGTGGCAGGCATATAGTCTCACCTAAAAACCATTTTGGAGAGTCACAAGGAACTGCCTCCTTAGGAAGCTTTCCAGAGTTCTGCCTACCTCCGTGAGGTGCCTCTCTCCTGACCCAACTCATGGTCCGTGTCTCCCTCCCTGCACTTACTACACTGCAGGGCAGAGATCAGTTTATGGGGTGACATAAGTGTACTCTGACTTTTTAACTTCCCATCTCCATATTTTGGGAGGGTGTTTTTAATAATCGAGACAATAAAGACAGTCTTTGAAAATTAATACTAAACTGTAACTGGACTACAAGAGCAAGAGAAATCTAGTTTACCTGAAGGGCTTGAAGGGTCTGTACAGTGTCTCAAAGATCCCAGTGCTATCCTTCCTCAGCACTTGGCAGAAAGCAAGGGAGCTGAAACACACCTGTGTTTAGTCCCAAAAAAGAGGACACAGGTGCATTCTGCAGATACTTCACTAGTAGGAACAACTTGTCATTTCCTGGAAGCTTTAGGGACTGTTGTCCTCCCTAAGCCAGCTCAGTGATGAGATGATTTGGGCTGAAGGCCGGATTTGGATATGTTATGAATGTCTAAAGAACCCTGAGCTCCACGGACCTGCTCTGAGACCTGATCCTATCCCTCACTGATAAGCCTTGCATCTAATAGTAACGCTGATTCAACACACACTGCATGTGATGCACTATGAAGCATAGAAAATGATGGCTGAAATGATGTTCCTAACTTTAAGCAGGAGACTCACATTAAGTAAGAGTCCATGCGATTATCAGTGCAATGACCTCTTGGGGAATGGATGGTCTCCATGGGGATTTGAGTAGCTATGAAACTGGAAAAATGGACCGGGGCCAAATGGTCAACCATAAGATTTTGCACATTAAGATATGTTGCAAAGACCCTGCCCTCTTTATACATGTTAGCCTACAAAAGGTGTACCTGGTCTGTGACTGTGGTGGAGGAAAGCCAAAATGTCACAGCCGTGAGCCGCCAGATGTCTAACAAGTCTACTTTTATTTGTTCTTTTTTGGCACACTGGCCTGGAGCATTACTTGTAAAAAGCTGGATGAGCGAGCACAGATTCCTAAGAAAGTTCCCAGTCTTCCTGGGAGCACTAGGTTCAGAAGAGAAGCCTGTGGTTATAGTGCCCATAGGTGGTAAGCATCCTCACAGGTCTGCTAACACAACACTGGCTATTAGCTCCTCAAGTGGGCAGAGAAATACCAGGTCCTCAGGCCCACCAGGGAATCTCACGGAGCCAACAGCAGAGCAACTGTCAGAGCTTGGAGGCCAGTGTTTACAATCATGAAAACAAGCCCTTTTCTGTTTTTGGAGAGGGATATTGTTCATAGGAACAGAGAAGTCCTCCTCAATTCTGTCTTTCAATTGGAAAGAAGAGAATTTGCTAAAAAAGAAACTCAGTTTCCTGGAGTCTATGAAGAAATGTATAGCCAATAGAAAGCTAATGGAGCCTTTTATAAGAACTGCTACACAGTGCTCTAAAGGTCAGAGACAGCACATGTCCAGCTGCTAGCAACAATGAGCTGGTCAAGTAGCTCGCTGCCAGTAACACGTTCAATGCTAGCACTACCTTAGTGGAGGACAGCAGGGCAGTGGTGAAGGTGACAGAACAGGCAATGGAGGGTGGGCAAGACGCTTTCTATTCAGCCTGGTACTGCACAACCCAGAAATCACAATGTACGGTGCAGCCTCTACCCAGGTGAGCTCCCAGGAATGGCTGGTTAAAGGGTGATGGCCCAGGCAACTTCCGGCACGACCCCAAAGGCAGACTCCAAGGAAAAGAGCCTGAGGGCAATTGTGAAAATAAAATCCCCCTCTAGCAGCACAGTGAGACAGTCAGACAGAGTCCAGACCAAGGGTTACAACAGAGAAAACCCCCATGGACAGCAGCCCAGCAGCATGGGAAATGGAAGGGACCCTGATGGACTCCTACAGCAAGCACTCAAGCCCTGTGCAGAATACCTCTAAGATCTAGCCATAGGGCAGGACATGACAAGGAAGCTTCTCAAAGAGTCCATGGAAGAAAGCAAAGGCCAGGTCGCAGGAACACTTTCTGTGGACCAGCACTTAAAGCTCAGATCCAAGCCACCCTAAGCAAGGCATTTCCCATGAACAGAAGAGCTAAGTATTGGGTGGAGATAATCACTAGTCCCCATTTGTTTTCAAGAGTCTTTTCCCAAAAAGATCCTTGGAGAAAGAAACAGGGAGGACTGCATGGCACAGGAATTAGAATTCACATGCAAGAAGAGGTCAGAAAATAACTTTGAAATCAGAGATTGGTAGAATGTACGTTTTTCTGAGGCACTCATTTCCTTCCCACCCCTTGACCACTCAAAAATTGTTTAATACTTACCAATTAAAAAATCTTACTCCTTATTTCAAGCTCCTAAAATCAGGGAGAAAAATGCTTTCCTTTTCTATAAAAATCACAGCAATCTAGGCAGCATTTAATAGTAAGACAGTGGGCCCATGTCACATGGCCAGCCCTGCAGCCCTTCAAAGGATGACTTGGAGACAAGCAGCCAAAAGGGTGGTAAGGAAAGGGCAGGCTGGGCTGGGCACAGGGCAACTGGAACTTCCCACACCAGGTTTCATCATCAAACCAAACAGTTTTCAAGGAAGAGTATCTAGGAGGACCACTGACTCTGGGAAATTCTGGGGGTGGTATTGCTCTTACTGTAAAAGAGAATAAAAGACAATAATTTGGGGACACTGGCAATCTATTTTTTAAGCAGCTTAGGGGAAGTTAAGAGAAATGAGAATGTGGCTCTAAATTCTAAAGTCTTTATATTAAAAACACCCAAGAAATGAAAGTTACTTGATGACTCCCCTACTCCAAGTCAGCTCCTCACACAGAAGGAAGCTGTAGGTAAATGGGCATGTGACTGAAATGGCTACTGAGTATGGCAGAGGCTCTGGTTTCTAGCTTTTTAAATATCAAACCAACGGCCAACTCATCCTGGGCAGTGATCCACAGCGTAGCACATTAAGCATCCTAAAATGAGGGTTGAGCAAAGTGATCTTTTAGGTTCTTTTTACCACTTGACTTTCCACAGCCCATTTACTTATCACTGGAAACTGTCCTTATGCAAACTAAAACACAGACTTTTCTCTTTCCTGGTGACAACACTTCAAAACGTTTTCCTGAGGTGTCGTATCTGCATACAGTAGTTAAAATCCTGAGACAGGGATACATAATATATAGCAGTGGTACTTTGATATTTAAGTTAGTAGGATACTTTTGACTATTGTATATTTCCCAAATATTTACATTCCTTTGACTGTTGTTTCTGGATATTTTCTAGTAAGTTCCACAGTGTCAGTCACAATAACCTAAAGTGGAATTCATATGACAGGCTAAATACCTGCAGGATCCAAATGTTGCACACAAAGATGGCTGAACAGAGGCCTACCTGGAGGCAGAGTCTATCCTGTCCTCTAGAGGGGATGCGTGCTGTCCCAGGACGGCTTCCACTTCACAAGGACTCACTTCATTCTATGCATTTCCTCTTGGAGCTGGTCATGCAGAAGAATTTCACACACACACAAGGTTGTGATAAAAAAAAAAAAAGCCACCCTCAAATGAGTAACAAGAGAAGAGAGATTTTAGGTAAGGGTGGGGAGACAGGTAATGACTAGGGGAGTGACAAAGCCCACAAAAAAGTAAAGTCACTTAAGAAAAGTGTTTACTTACTCATTACTTTCTTTAGGACTATATGGAAAATAAGCTGGTTTTCCTTCTATTGCTTTTCTGAAATCAGGTGCCTTAAGAGGACCATGGGGTTCCAAGTGGAAGGTGGTACAGGAATGTCTAAATGGAACAGAAAGCTCCTTCCAAGACAGGTCTTCACAGGCAGGAACAATCGTTGTACTACCTTTCACTGGTACTTTTGCACCAGTATCTAGAAAACTGGCTTTGCAATCGTAACTTCATTTACACATTCATTCAATGAACAAGAACTGGGCACTGAGATGAAAATAAGCACATTCCTTCACTCGTGGAGCTAACAACTAGGAGTTAGGCAACAGTGAAGTAAACACAGAAACTCAGATTGTGATAGGACCAGACAACTGTGTTACATTGTGGGGAAATTTTTCAAATTTGAAAAATAGGTTGGTCTTATTTACAGGTTGAAGGGGAGTGGGTATTCACTAAGTCTGGGGAACAGATACAAACATACCAGAGGCCATTCCTGCAATGCAGATAGGTAATGGGACTTCCACTTGACAGGGCCAAAGTGTGCAGTGTGCAGTGGTGAGCTGGGACACTCGGGCTGAAATCTCAGCCCAAAGCACTTGTATTTTATCATTTTGCCCTAGGTGATTACCTCTGGGACCAGGGTATCTCATTTACTTGTCACTACTGTGTTCTTTTGGACCCAGTAAGAAGCCAGCCAAATGGGTGGGATAGCTGATATAACTGACTACTTGGGAGTATTTCATATTTTTAAATATTTCCTTTGGTCGATCTGTCATTATGGTGGTAACAGTGTGAATCCAGAATACATGTATGCATACACTGCCTTCTTAAAAGTAACTGTGAGTTGAGGGGAGGGCAGTCAGCCTCAGAGAGACAAAGAAGTCAGGAGGAGCCTGGCATACTTGGGCGGTTTCATGGCTCCATGAAGCCTGTGCCGTCTGCTTCAGGCCTGGGGAAGGGCATGAGCAACACCGAGTTCCTGCCCCAGTGGAGCTCGGCCTTGTAGTCAAGAACAGACATAGCTAAGACATGAATTTCTCTTCATTTTCCTTTACTTTGGGTTCCTGTGTAACTTTCAAATGGTAGTTTTTCAGGGACTCTGTTCTTGTTCTACTCTCTTTTTCCCTAATAATCCTCCTGGGAAATGGTGAAATGACATGCTGGTTTAAAACATTTTTATCTTCTGTGTAGGCTTCTCCCTAGATCTTTATCTTTATATGCCTCAAGACAGGCTGCCTTCTCTCAGACACTTTAATTACAACATGACCCAACCATGTGATCCCCTCCAAGTCTGCTCCTCTCCTGTACAGACCCATCACTACTAACCACCCCATCAGAAATGGAGCTGTTTCTGACTCTTTCACAGTTACATCAAGTAAGTCACAGTCCTAGGCCCTAACATACCCGCGACTGTCCCTTCCTGTCGTCAGGCATTCTAGAATTAAGGCAATGATGCCCTAAATGCAAATATTACATTAAGATAACAAACAGAAAATGGTTGTCATCTTTGCTTTTAAATGTGTGCAAAACAAAGTCCAAAGCCTTTGGTATGGTCTACAAGGCCCTCCATGACCAGATGTCTTCATTTCCGATCCCATACGGATCTCTTCAAGCCCTCACTCGTGTATTAAACAATCTATCTGCATAATATATACTTACGATTTACATAAAACTTCATTAGGATTTGAATTCCCAACCAAAATTATATCTTACAGACCCCAATTACCCTTCGTGCTTTGTATGTACAATGAAATCTGGTCAAATTAGATTTCTCTGTAACAGACTCCTTGATTCAATAAAGCAGCTCTGAATCAACCTAAAACCTCCAGCACCCTGCAATATGACAAGCATTCAATAGTATTTACTTGGTAAATTAATGAAAAAACTTTACACTTTAGTTGGAATAAAAGACAAGTTTGGAAATCTCCTATAGAGATCTTTCTAATCACCAATTTCAGTACCCTACATCATTTCCATAGATCTGAGTTACCAAACCATGAGGACTTATATGTGTGGTAGTGGTGAGAGTACAGGACACAGCCTGTTTCACAATTTTTCACCCCCAAACAAAAAACATCTATTTTGGGGGTATTAAGCCCACAGCAGTGAGTTATCAAACTGCCAAACTCTCTTGAAGGTATAACTCTGCTTCTTGCTTAGGCCTTCATGTGGGCAACCTCTGCTTTCTTTCCCAGCCAATACCTGTTTCTGGCCCTTGTGCAGGGGAGAGGATTACAGGAACTGCCTTACTGAGTTTTTGTAGTTATATAATACTGAGCTATGTGGAGAGGCATTATGTTCTTTTATGGGATTCCTCCTGGCAATCCCAACTAAGAGTCTCTGGCTTGACTAGTAACTTCCAGTCTCTCTTCCAACAGCTTCTGCACTGGATGGTACCCAGCTATTGGGTGCCTGGCTCAAGGCAGGAGACCCACTTGTGCAGGGTAATTTTCAACATGGCTCACGGCCCATTTCTTACATAATAATCACTTTTGGCCCTAGGGAAAACATCTGGCTGACCCCACCTTTATCAATTGAAGGCATGTCTTACCTTGTGACCTTCTACAGTTAAGCGGCATCCCTATTTCCCCAACAGCTTAAGATTATAGGTCAAGATCTCAGAGTAGTTCATTTGAAACATACCTCCCTGTATTTAAAAATGGGAAGCACCCAACTCATTCTGAGACCAGTTTTACCCTGATATCAAATCCAGACAAAGCAAACTACAGATCAATATCCTTTATGACTAGAGATGCAAATATTCTCAACAAAATACTAGCAAACCAAATCCAGCAGCATAGAAAATGGTTTATGTAGCAGAGACAAGAGGGATTATTCCAGGAATGCAAAGTTGATTCAATATACAAAAAAAAAAAAAATCCATCAATGTAATACAATATACTGAAAGAATAAAGGACAAACACTACATGACAACCTTAACAGATACAGAAGTATTTGACAAAGTCCAATATCCTTTTTGATAAAAATACTCAACAAATTAGAAATAGATGGGAATTTCCTCAACCTGAAAAATCTATGAAAAACTCATAGCTAACATCATACTTAATAGTAAAAGACTTAATGCTTTCCCTCTAAAATCAGGAACAAGAAAAGATGTCCTCTCTTGACACTTATATTCAATATTGTACTGGTGGTGCTAGCCAGGGCACTTAGGGAAGAAAATGAAATATAAAAGAATCCAGATTGTAAAAGAAACCAAAAGTATTTCTATTCATGTGCATGACCTGGTAACCAGAAAATACTATGAAATAAAAAAAAATAGATCTATAAATGAGTTCAGAACAGCAAGAGTATATAAGGTCAACATACAAAAATCAATTGTATTTCTAGACAGTAACAATCCAAAAATGAAAATTATAAAGCAACTGTTTGTAATAGCATCAAAAAGAATTAAAATACGTGTGAAAAAATTAACCAAAGAGGTCATGACTTATACACTGAACTCTATAAAACATCATTGAAAGAAACTAGAAGCCCAAACAAATGGACAGACACTCCATGTTCATGGCTGGAAAAATTTAATACTGTTAAAATAGCAACATTCCTCAAACTGATCTATAGATTCACCACAATCACTATCAAAATCCCACGTATTTATTTGTGAGAATTAACAAATTGATTCTAAAATTCATATGGGACTCAAGGGACCCAGAGTAGAAAAAATGATCTGGAAGTAAAACCAAGTTGGAGGACCCATACATTTTAAATTCAAACTTACTACAAAGCTATCAAGACAGTGTGGTACTGGCGTAAGGACAGACATAGAGAATGGAATAAAATTGTAAGTTCAAAAATAAAGTCTTACACTTATGGTCAATTGTTTTTGACAAGTGTCAAGACCACTCATGAGTCTTTTCAATAAATGGTGTCTGGATGTCCATACACCGAAGAATGAAACCAGATCCCAAAGTGTACGACCTACAAAAATGGATCAAAGACCTAAATGTAAGAACCAAAAGGATAGGATATATGCTTAGAAGATACGACCAAGAGAAATGAAAACAAGTCCATATAAAAACTTGTACACAAACGTTCATAGCTGCGGTATTCAAAACAGCCAAGAAGAAAAAACAACATGTGTCCGTCAACTGAATGGATTATAAAAAAAAAAGTACAGTATACCAGTACAACATCATTACTCAGCCACAAAAAGAAACCAAGTACCACTTACATGCTACAAGGTGACATTACTCTAAAGGGGGCCAGGAAGGACAAAAAAGGCCACATATTGTATGATTTCACGTCTAAAACAGGAAAATCCACAGGCACAAAGTAGAGAGTGGTTGCCAGAGGCTGGGAGTTAAGAACAGGTAATCACTCCTAATGAGTACAGAATTTTTTACAATGAAAATGCTCTGAATTTTATAACAAGGGCGACTGCACAATTTTGAGTATACTAAGAACCACAAATTTTATAATTTAAAAAGGGAAATTTTTATGATATGTGAATTGTATCTTAAAGATGAGAGAAAGCACACCTCTTCCATTTTCAGGTGGATGAGGGAAGGTCAACATGTGTAAAATAAATCTCCATTACAAACATTTCCAATTTCTCAATACTTTCTCTAATTTCACTGGCAAATTTTGGGAGAACCCATCTCAGTCTCTCATGCAAGATATTAAGCATGTGTATCCCAATTTCTTTGAATCCTGCCAAGCAGTGATAAGGCAGGACTGGGTGTAAACTGAGACAAGGGAAGGCAGGGCCGCGATTGACTGAGGACTGCACCCTCAACCACTGTGTGCTGTTTCTTAGACACTGCCGGAAACCATGCTTTCCATGGTTTTTAGGAGACTGGAAGATAAACCATGGAATTACTCCAGCTCCTGTTCAGTTGAGCTTAAGAGTCTTGATTGTATGATTTCTGACAACAGGAAGATGGCAGATTTTAGATGGGCTGGGCTGTGTGACTTTGGGCAAGGCACCTCTAGAGTCAGTGACTTACTCTGTAGGACGCAAGATCATGTACAGAAGGGACTGTATCTGCCCTTTTTAGAATTTCAAGGTGGTCAACCTAGAAGATGTAAAAGCAGCGTTCAGCTGAGGCTCTTCAATCCATGTCAGTGGCTGGCCAAGGGCAGAATGGTGGATTCTAGCTTCCATCTGCAATGAGGTGAAGGGAAGGGAAGTGTGGCCACAGAGAATATGGCTGTAGAGGTTACTGGTCACCTGAGCACACTATAGTCAGGTTGGAAATGTTCACACACAAAAAAATTTACTTTCTAAGGCCTTAGGCCCTTTCATCCCTCTATTTCCATAGGCTAAAATGACACAGCAAATAATTCCAAGGTGTCTCTTCAGGGAGGAAAAAAACAACTTTTGGGGGGAAGGAATGGGGACCAGAGATAACATTTAGTGGAAAGACAGACATGTTTCATTAAAACACTCTGTAGGCTGGGCTATTTTTCGTGCTGATACTGTCAAGCTGGTGAGAAGATGGAGCTAAAACTTTGCCCAAGTAAAAAGTAGACTATCTCCACCATGAAGTTTATACTTCTAGCAATGGTTATTAAAAAAAAAAACAAATTAAAGAGAAGCTCCAAAGTGAGCTGTGTGGAGGATGTTATCAAGAGCAGCCCAAGATATGCTGTAAGAATTCCAATTAAAATTAAAGAGCTGTGCCATGGAGAACAGATGAGCTGTTATGCAGGCCCTTGGGGCTCAGTGATCTTCACCGGCAAGGTGCTTTAAAAATTTGGATTTGAAAGGTATCTGAGAAATATAAAAACAATGAAGCATGGCAACTAAAGACGTTATGTAGGCACATAAAGAGTGGTGCCTACAATCAACAGGGAAACTGGACGGGAAGGTGCAAATGTCTCTACAGGGTCTTGAAGGCTAGACTTGGAGATTTATTCAGAAAAGAACAAGTTTTTATACACAGTATATTAGAACTAACAAAATTATGTTTCAGCAGAATGAAATGGGTGGTCAGAGTCAAGGAGGCCACTCAGGGTAAATGGAAAAAACCTGAGAAAGGAACTGACAATTTATGACAAAGGATGAGACTTCAATGACTAAGGGTGAAGGTGGCATTTTCAAGAAAATAAAGAGATTCAAGATTAAAGATGTAATTTTTAGCTGTACTGACATTGAGTTATACCAGAAAGGCATCTTCAGGTCTGAGCAGAAGACACAGACTTAGAGAAGGGTCTCTGGGAGCAATTGAGGTTGACCAGAGACTACTGGGCAGGTTCAGATATCAGCTTTAAGTAGAACTGGAGTGTGCACTCAAGGCGATCTGGATGAGCTGGGAAGGAAAGGGGAGTGAGAGAAGCGGCAGCCCAGTTCTGGGTACAGTAAAGGTTTAAAGACAAGAGTTCTTAATTTTGGCAATTAGAGGTTATGAGTATCCTTGGGCAATGCATTTCTAGTGGATGGCACTGAATTGGCAGCCATGCACAGTGAAATTCAGCCCAGACTGCATCAAAATCTTGTAGTGACTGTTAACAATGTCAAACCACTGACCTGAAGAGGAAAGGGAGAAAAGGCTTGGGACTCTACCTTAGGAACACACTCTTCCCCAGACATGGCAATTCTTTACACACTAATATTGTAGATCAAAGGAGTGGGAGTGGAAGCCATGTTTTGCTTCTTTACTCGTTTAAGAAAGACAGGTACAGATAGTCTTTAGCCTAATGGGAGGCCAGAAAACATGCAGTAACTAGGTAGGGAATCAAGAGCACAAAGAGAATAATCCTGGGAAGGCTTCTTCCTCTGCAAACTTGCTTGGATTTTTGAGAAAAATTCATAAAGGACCCTTAAAATATCATAACAGACTTTTTATGGGACAAGGATAGATAATGCCTATAGTTGTTTTTAATAATCTGTGCCAATAATAAATAACATAAGCAAGTTTTCTGTTTGAAGCCCCCTTTTCAGGTTTCCTTTTGATATATAGCTTCCTGTAGAGGAGTTTGAGACACACTTGGATTTTATTGCATAATTAATCACAGTACAGGAAAGTAGTATATGGTAATAGGACATACAACTCACTTGCTGGAGCTACAAGGGTCCAGAAAAGTTCGGCTGATAGTTAATTTATGTTTGAAATGTTTTACACTATTACAAGGTAAAAGAAAGCTTACATTTTATCTAGAAATCAAATTAATTCATAGTTTAATTTTACCCCCTAGGGAGCTTCCTATAAATTTCAAACCAAAGAAAATCAAAATATATGAAAGACTGTCTAGCCAAAAAAAGTACTTTTATAACTTAACATATGGATTAGAGGGAGTAGCTATGTGATAAAGTTTCTACTGTTTTCCTCTTCTTGAGATACTGTTCAGGGTGGGGGATTTAGCTCAGTGGTTCCACCTCCTGCCTTGCAAGCAAAAGGTCCTGAGTTAAAAAAAAAAAAAAAAAGATACTGTTGATTATTGTGACACTGCAGTAAATAGTGGAAAGGCAGTAATAACAGAAGTGATAACATGCCCAGAATAACTGATTACTAAGCAAGCAAGAGCAGCTAGTCTGTGCAAGATTTTCTCTTAAAAATTTTTAATAGGTTATTTACCTTAAGTCTCTCTGATGTGAATTCTGTACCTGATAACCTGTACTCAATTATCATTTAAAAACTTCACACACAATACAATTATAGAAATTCAACACTGCAGTGACAATGAAACTTGAGAAGTGGAGAGCACAAATTTTTTTGATGAATTTATTACATAAAATGTCCCCAGAGCATTTCGTTTCCTCTTCTCAATTTCTTACTGCATAGAAGCACAGTTGGGGAGAGGCCCTTTGTGATGACTCTAATCAAAGGAGGATCCTTCGCATCAGGGTAGCATACAAAACAACATTCTAAAAGCTGGCCCAGGGAAACCACATGTTACCTTGTCACACCATGAAAAGTGTTGTGTTTTTTCCTGTAAATCACGGTGGAAAAGCCACTATTTATTCAGCATTACACTACAAAACAGTTCTGTCTTAATTACTAAAAGAATTAAGATAATCCTGAAAGACAACCTTTTTCCCCTCCAATGATTTGAAAGGTATATTTTTCCTGCCAATTTGAAACAAATCATCAGATTGATCTGTATCAGTTAAAACAATAATCAAGGAACAAGCTCAGCACTTTAAACTGTAGCTTGTAGTAAAATGATATATCAATGTCTCTTCTTAGTTAAAAATACATAATCCATTTATTTTATAATGCATCAAAAGAAATTAACATCACAGACAAAGAAGACTAGGAAAGGGGAAGCTACTACTTTAAATATACAGTAATTTTCACCTATTTGTACTTTTCTGTGGTACATGAAAGTAATTGATAACATTTTCTGTAGTCAGATTTAGCCTTTGGGGACATACAATGGCATTCTCGGGAGTAACAGATCCCTTCATTTCCAGGTTTGCTTACTGTATGACTAAGTAACACAAAGCACAGCAGCCATCCTTTCTATTATGCTGCAACACTGATCATGTGCCTTGAGAGAGCGCCGATTAAACAAGATGATGGCAACACAAAGGGGAGACCTTTGGATTGTCTATTTAAAATCTAGGTCATTAATAAAAACCTTATTTTAAGTGCACTTTCACATGCTTTTTGTTTATAATAAACAACAAACTTCCTAACTGTTGCAATAGGCTTGACTACCGTATCATTTGGCCAAATGCACTTTCCCCAGTAAACTTAAAACAACAATAACAACAACAAAAAATCCCTGTCCTTTCATATATTAAGAGGATTGGCTACTAAAACAGTTCATTGCAGGACACATAAAAATGACATACTGTGGCATGAGTTTTTAATTTCTTGTGCTGTTACTAAAGTAAAGTTCTGAGAGCTGCAGTTAAAGTATTCCACATTCTTCCTTCCATCTTTATTGATTCACGAGATTCTGCACAGAAAACTCTTTGGGGACTAGAACAGCAGTACCTGCATCGCACTCTTTCCAAGACTTCAAGTTTAAAAAGCAAACCATTAAAAAAAAAAAATTCCTGATTTGAGTTAGATACAGGGATTTAAAAAAATAGCACATACTTGAAGGTTACATGGTCTACAAATGGTGGCAATGTTGTCCTTGGGAGAGTAGTTTTGTTGGTATATATATTTTAAATACTCAAAAAGGCTCAACCTCAAGCAGTAATAAACACAAGCAAAAGTGATTTAACCCTTAAAATAAATATTCAGAAAAACCTCTCTGTACATACAAGTGAAAGAATATGTAACACTTTCACGCGAAAAAATAATTATAATAATAATAAAGGATTTGTTCATATATGTAGCTGAAATCTGCTGTTCCAGCCCACATTTCCCCAATAGAGAAGGGAGGCGCAGACACAGATGACTACCTGGCTCACTATCTTACAGCCTTTTTGTCTGGGACACTATCACCACCACTTATCCCTCTTGTTATGTTATTCAATTTTTAAATTTTCCTTTTTTTCTTCCTTTTTTTTTTGTTTTTGTTTTTTTTGTTTTTGTTTTACAGCATGCCAAATCCTTTGGCATATGTGATGGCCTTCAACAATCTCTCTTTAAGTTTTTCTTTGCTTGAATATTCCGGAAGTAAAAGGACATTAAAGCAAGTATGAGATGTAGGTAACCTAAATAGAGAGAAAGGGGAAAAACAGGAAAATAGTAAGTCATGGGAAACATGCTTTGTATTAAATACTCCTAACTTTTAGATGGTATATAAAGTTGAGATGGTTGACAATGAAGACTACATATTAAGTCATAAACCTGTCATTGTGTAACTACCAAGAATTAAAAGTATCTTGGTTCTGTAAATTAACGCTAATGTGGTGTTGCCGATGATGATGATGATGATGACGACGACGACGACGACGACACGAGTTATTAGTACGTACTGTGTGGTGTTTGGGTACTTAACCCTTGTAGTTCATTTAGCTATATTTTTTCACAACAGTTGGACAGTACAGATACCACTAAATCCACTTTAGAGTTGAACACACTGAGAATTAACTTACTCTAAGGTGGAGGAATATTTAAAACTCATTTTAGAGATTTCAAAGTCTGTGCTCTTTAATGTTTATCAGAAATATTGCTGATATGACTATAAAATGCTTTGATTAAATTAATTTACAGTAGCACCAGTATATGTTAAATAATGTAGAATACTAATATAGAAATTTAACCCATTACATATGCTCATGTATGGTCCTTACCCACTCAAAATACCAACTTATTCAATGCGGAGGGAATATAATTGCCAAAATTACATAACTGAGGATTCTACCATAATATAATGCTGAACAGTCTCCTAAACTTCAATTTAACTATTCTCGATAGATATCATATGGCTTACAATTAACAAACTGTGACTCAAAACAGAATGAATCACGCCAATCTAAAAAACTGTAACCCAAGATAAATAAACCTCAAAATAACTTTTAACTAGGCCATATCACCAAAATATCCTCTCAACTAACGCTTCATGTAATTTGGAGATTTCTATATAAAAATCAAATAAGTGTTTACAAACTACAAGGACAGTTCACATATGAGTAATGTGGAATGCAAGGCTTTAGCAGATACGTAGTCACAACTAAACAATTACCTTTCTGTGTCTGGGCCATTTTTGGCTATAATCATCTTTAACTTTCCCAGTCCTCCCACAGGTGCTCTGTCTGTGCCTGTTGTAAACTGCAAGAAGAGTCTTTTCTGGTCATCAGTAAACGAATGAACGATCTCCCAGAATTCCCTAGGTAAGTAAAGATACAATACTGATTTTAGTTTGGCCTTTGTTATAAACTTTGTTTTAAGTATATGACATGTATTAAAACAGTATTAGGGGAAAGGTTAAAAGTTAACATTAGGAACTCTTAAAAGATTCATTCCTGGTGATTCAGTAAGCATACTTAATCAAATTTAAGGAAACAGTTTTAAATATATAAAGCTCGTATTTGTCACTACACCATTAACCACAGTAAAAAAAAAAAACAAAAAAAAAAAAACCTGGTAAATCCTAACCATAAGAAATGATTATGTAAGCTACTTATACAATAATATGCAGTCAGAAACAAAAAGCAAAATCCTATTAACCGCGAAAGACTAAAAATATTGTAAACAACCGCCTATTCTCTGTATTTACCTACACCTCAACTTTTTGGGTCAAATGTGACACAGATTAAGAACAAAAGAGGAAAACAAAATGAACAATAAAAATGCAACCAAACAACCACACACTTAACATCACTATTACCAAAGTATACAATTTTTACACAAACTAGGACGCTTTTATCAAGTAGCATGTATTACAAAAGCGGGAGAAAATTATTGATATTTTATTATATGCAGTTAATTTCAGGAAAATGAATCCCCAGCATTCCCAAACCTACATAATAAATGCCACATTGTAATGACATATATGTTGTTCTGAGTTCTAAAAAACTCAACCTTGGAATGACATGACACAAGGTTATCTTCAGCTCTAAAACGAAAATGCAAGCTCATGAAGAACAATCTTAGCATGCTCGTCAGGTATCTATAAAACCAATACATCCACTCACAGCTAAAAATGTGAAGATTTTTGAAAAACACTTAAAAGTACTTTCAATTGGGTACAGCATACATTTTAGCATTTATCTGACAATTTCTTTCCAGAATCTTGGCAGAGCATGTCACCTCACTAACAAATTAATTACAATTCCAATTTCTGATACTCTAGTATACTATTCTTATTACCTGAATGTTGCTCTAGGACTGCTATGCTGACATAAATTAAACTTTCTGCGACTTCACACATTTATCAGACCTTGGATGCACCCCCTCCTTGCCAACAGTATCTTCTCCAGCCCAGTCCTGTAAACCCACTGTTCACCCAGAGGACAGCAATGGCCTGCAGGGCAGCAGGAAAGACTGGATGTGGCATTCACTCAGCATCAGCACTATTCAGGAAGGAAGGAGTCGGACCTCAAGTTTACACCCTCTCTTTGTGGGGCTGGCAGAGAAAATGATTCTGCTATGGCAACTGAGAGCTCTGTCAGGGCAGAAAAGTTTCCCTGCCTCAAGTGCCAGAAATCCTGCCCACACTGCAGGAGTGCTGTGCAGCCAGTGATACCTCAGTGTACCTGAGGGGGAGCCAGGGCACCATCCGGGAAGGAAGAGAGACTCTGAAGGAAGTGGCAGGTAAACAGGAGTCACAGCAACCAGTTCTGCTAAGATGATTAGGAAACTATTTGGTTGCATTTTACAAAATAAGATCTTAAAAAGATTACTATTAATTCTACATGATGAAAACATTTATAGAACAAAATTATTCTTGTGTTACGCACTTTGCCGAATTCTTATCTAATTCAAGATTTTATCTATTAAGGTAAAGGGGAAAAGCGGCTTTCAGGTTTCTACAGTGGCAGCTTCATGGATCTTGTACTCACAACTCTGAAAAATCTATCCAAATCAAAAGGAGAGAGGGCTGGATTTAGCTCAGTGGCACTGGTATCACACCTCCCTCACAAGTGCAAGGTCCTGAGTTCGATCCCCATAGCAAAAAAAGTAGGGGGGGGTGAGAAAATAAAATAAAAACACCCACTACCTATGCCAAGAGTAAAGCAGTAAACTCCAAATGTCAGCATAATTAGTACCCAAGCCCACACTAGCAAAGTCTAGCAGGCACTAAGGGAAAAAGCAGCATGTACAGAGTAACATGGTGAGGGGTCATCCTACCCTCAAAGAGATCTACTCAGGGCAGGTCATAGCACTGACAACAAGCTGGTTAGAAAGAAGGGCCGCAGCAAAGTACCTGGGACCAGACATGTTAGCCTCAGGAAGGCACAATGCCTGAAGGACAGTGGCCCTTGAAAAGTAGCTTCTGCCCACGAAGGATTGACAGTGGCTGGTGAAAGGGGGCTTTAATTAAGTAAGCTAGAACTGGAGAATAATAAGACACTGGTCGGTCCACATGAAACAGAATCATATGTTAAAGAAACTACCTTTCCTACAGCAACAGAGTCCCTTTAATTAAGAGACCACTACAGCCACTCCAACTCTCTCCGCTGCTTCTTGAGATCTTGTAATGGCAGTTCAAAAACAAAACAAAAAACAACTCCCACACACAAGGTAGAAAAATAGAATTTTGAAGTCCAAATACAGATATGAAAGAATTTCTGCAAATGAGAAAACTTGTCAGACTAAAGTACACCTGAAAAAGGAGAAAAAATACCAACACATTCTAATACACAATATAAAACCTATACTTACTATACTCCAACAAAAAGATGCAACAGCAGATAGAAAGGGACACCATTAATCAGAAATACAAAACAGCAAACAGAAATGAGAATGCTCAGAAACACAGAATGCACAGGGAGGGAGCTATACAGCGCCTGCCTCGTATGTGCAAAGCCTGCAGTGAGTCTCCAGCACCACAACAGAGGAAGATGGAAGACCTGAAGCCCTACACAAAACGACTGACAGAAAAGGCTGTAGTTTATGAGGGGACCATGGAAAAGAAGTATGAAAAATGTGTACTGGGATCAGATAGTCTAAAAACAGAATGAGCAATAAAGTAAGAAACATATCAAATATGAAATATCTATCAAAGCAGGATATTGGAAACGATGAATAGTTAATTACATAAACATAAAAGCTTTCATGAACAAAAGACACCCTGTAAACAAAGTCACAGTATAAATGACAACTAGGAAAAATTTTTATAAATTTACCAAAGAAAGCTAATCACCCTGATTTTAAAAGAAATTATCAGTCACTGCATAGCAAAAAGACCAAAAGCCTAGATAAAAAAACACACTGGCACTTAATAAAGCCCAAAGGCAACTATCCTCATTTGTTATGAATAAGGTTAGCTCTCATTATAACTACACTGAAATACTATTCCTCCACTGATAGGTAAGTAAACACCCAAGTTTAAGAACACATTCTGTTTAAGAAGTTACAGGAAAATGGGGGGTGGGAGGAAGTTACAGGAAAATAGATTCTTATATACTGCTGGTGGGAATGTAAAATGTTACATTCCTATGAAGGACATCTTGGTACTCTCTAGTACAAACCATCTGATGCAACCATTCCACTTCTAGCACTTTGAATGATACCTTATATATGTACTATATATGGAATGATACATGCATAAGTGGATTGACTGTAACATTACTATCAAGAGCAAAAGATTGAAAACAACCGTAGTGTCCGTGAATATTAAAAACCTATACAGTAAACACAGTTTGGCAGTATTCAGCCATATAAAAAGATACAGAAAATATCTCTGCAAGCTTCTTCCTAGCTCTGTCCCCTGACAAAGTCTACAGGGAATAACATTCAACATCAAAGGTCATACAGACTATATAATCTGTATCTAAATTCTAAATGTCATTTCCCAATAAATTCTTTAAAATGTTTTATTCTATTACTGGGAATGAGACTGACGTAAGCCAAAAATTTTAAATCTACTAGGATCATGTTATAAACACACCGAGGTCAAGTAATTTGAATATTATTAATAGTAATGATTCTGAAACATTTTAAAATATTTATATAAAAAAGTCATGAGTTAATAATATACAAAGGTGGCAAAAAACAAACAAACAAAAAACTCTCAAACCGAATGCCACTACTGAAATTACTAACTTCTTACTCTAGAAAACTTAGAACTGTTTCTTAAGACATTCAAGTAGTACCCACTGACAAGGATAAATATGGCAGAATGGTACACATGTAAGACAAAGATAAGGGAGCCTAGGAAGATGGTGACAATGACACCATTGTTTTGTATTTGTTTTTTTGAGTCCCAGTCTCCCCCAAGAAAAAGCAAGCTGCATGGGAAAACCGAAGACCCACAGCAAAAGTAACAAAGTATATACTCCATGGATCCTCCCAAGTTAGCCGACAGTAACCAAAGCTCTGACACCTAAAGAAAGACCTGACCTCGCTGTTATCTGCATTCCTGGGGTAGAAAGCAGAAGCGAGGTTAACTGAGTTTCTGAAATCCCAAGAATAAGACAATCTCACAACTGCCACCCCATTTGAAAGGAGAGAACATCAGTGAGAACACAGCTCAACGAGCTCTACAGGACCCAATTTGCAGCTAACTACAAAGAGATCTGATGCAGGAAAGTGCTGGAAGCACCAAACCCTCTTCCAAAACAAACCTCTCACTGAGGAGACTGCTGGGAATTATAGTCAAATAAACCAGACCAAGAAAATTTCAAATACAGATGAGGTGGGGAGTTAAAGGAGGTACCAGAATTTTAAAAAGCACAAAACTATTATTTGTTTTATCATTTTATAAAAATAAAAATAAAGCCTTTCCCAAGAAAAGCTATCCTGGCCCTTCTCTCTAACAACAATGATAACACCATTACACATATGAAGAAAATGAGCAACAGAAAAAGGACCACTGTGAAACACTGGACCTGGCCATTATGTCCATGAAGATGCTGTCTCTATAGAGAATGAAACCACACCAAAAAAAAAACAAACAAAAAACTAATAAAACAGATGAAATTTCAAACTGAGCTAAAATAAATGTAAAGAATAGAGGCTATGAAAGAAAACTAAACAAGAAATGAAAAATTTTCGAAAAGAGCAACCGAAGGAAGGTTTTAGAAATGAAAAAAAAATGTCAAATATAAACAAACTAAACTAGAAAAAAAGTAAGGCTGGGGGAAAAAAAAATCTCTAGAAAGTTGTTATGAAGAAGAAAAATCTTTTTTTGGGGGGGTACTGGGGATTGAACTCGGTCCTCGC